GTCTTGTTCAACGTCTACAGCCAGACTCTGCCACAGTATCGCGGCACTATCCTCCGGACCATCAACGCTTACCTGAGCATCATACCCGAGCGCGAGCTCATGGAGACCTTTGAGCGAGTTGCATCTAACCTTGAGGCTTCTTTGCCCGAGCCTGGCTCGCAGACGCAGGCTGCTAAGCAGAAGCAGGAGACGGGCCCCAACAAGATGCCGCCAATGAGCCACACCCTGATGGATCTCATAATCACGATCGCCCTGTACCTCCCACGCGATAGTTACCGCTCACTGTTCCGCATGGCCGAAATCATGATCAACAGAGAGAACGAGCCCCAGCTGCAGAAGAAGGCATACAAGCTCATTCCTCGTCTTGCGGAGTCCGAGATGGGCAAGGAAGCTTTGAAGGAGCGCAACGGTGAATTGCAACAATTGTTGCTAGGAAGCGCGGAGAAGGCTTCCGCTCCTGCGCGACGCGACAGACTCAACGCGCTGTACCAAGTTATCGAATCCCTCCCTCAGAGCGATCTGCATTTCATCCCCGCCATTCTCTCCGAGGTAGTCATCTCTGCCAAAGAGACAAACGAGAAGGCGCGAGAGGCAGCCTACAATCTGCTTGTCGCTATGGGTGAGAAGATGGCCGAAGGAGGTCAGGTTGTGCAAGCCAAGGTACCCAACATGCCCGCCGATGCGCCAACTGTTGAGGCCTCGCTTGAAGAGTACTTCACCATGGTGTCGGCCGGTCTAGCTGCTACTACACCGCACATGATCTCTGCGTCTATCACCGCCGTCACTCGCATCCTCTACCAGTTCCACGCTCAGATCTCTAAGGAGTCCATTACCCACCTCTGCGACCTCATGGACATCTTCCTTCAAAACCCCAACCGCGAGATCGTACGCAGTGTTCTCGGCTTCGTCAAGGTCGAGGTTATCACGCTACCAGAATCGCTTGTACGACCACGTCTCAACACCTTGCTGAAGAGCCTTATGGTCTGGAGTCACGAACACAAGGCGCACTTCAAAGCCAAGGTCAAGCATATCGTCGAAAGAATGGTCCGGAAGTTTGGCGTAGAAGAAGTCGAGCGTGCCACACCTGTCGAAGACCGCAAACTCATCACCAACATCCGTAAGACACGCGAACAGCGCAAGAAGAAGAAGCAACAAGCTACAGAGGATGGTGAAGAGGTCACCGAAAAGCGAAAGGGCAAGTTTGAGAGCGAGTACGACCAGGCTGTCTACGGTAGTGAAAGCGAAGAGAGCGATGGCGACTCTGAGGACGAATTCGTCAAGAGCCAGAGCAAGCAACAGCGGGGAGGCGCAAAGGGCGGCAACACATACATCATCGAAGACGAGGATGAGCCGCTTGATCTCCTCTCTAAGAACGCTCTTGGTAACATCTCCTCAACGAAACCCCTGCGCCAACGCAAACAGCCACAGAAGATGAACGCCCGCACAAACGAGGACGGCAAGCTCATCATCGGCGACGAGGACGAGGAAGCCCCGGCAAAGGGCAAGAAGTCCAAGAAGCACGAAGTACCCGACGAAGACGTCCTCATGGACATCGACGACCAGAACACATCCCTCGAGGCCGGCATCAACGCCTACGTAGACGCCATCCGCGGCCGCGACACCGCCCAGCAAGGTCAGAAAGGCCGTCTCAAGTTCAGCAACAAGCGCACACACGAAGACGACGAAATGGACATGGATGACGACGGCGGCGAAGCTGATTGGCAAGAAGTGCGAAAGGCGAAATCCGGCTCTGGAATGGGTAGGGGTGGTGTGAAGAGCGGCGGCGCCGGCCAAAAGAGCCAGCGGCGTGGCCTAGGTCAGGAACGCACAAGGGGCGGTAATGTCAGCGGTGGAGAAGGAAGGGGAGGCAAGGGTAGAGTCGAGAAGATGAGGAGTCCACGTGGTAGAGGCGGTGCTCGTGGTGGTGGTGGGTTTAGAGGGAGGGGCAACGGGCCCAGTGGGAAGTGGAGTGGGCCGAAGTAGGTGGGATGAGCAGATGCATTTACGGTAGTAGTATGGTAAAAAGGGAGAGGCGTTGAGGTGTCGTCACGTTGTTTTATGTAGTCTTGATATCCGAATGAATGTAGATATCCATTTCGCTGCTTCATCTCTCCTGGGAAACGACATGAACGCCCCGGTACACCTCGTAAATGCAAGCAGTCTCGGTCATCGGTGACATCGGAGTGCGAAAATATCATCTCACCGACATGTATGGAGCAGATTGAACGATGCCCCAGCGACACCGAATGTGGCCCGCGTAAAGCATCGTGGATCGTTATGCATGGAGTCGGCGGATCTTGTTGTGTTGCCGAGTCGCAATAAAGTTGGGGACACGACAGGGTATATCATCGGCACACTCTCTCCACTTGCCGAACCTCAAGACGCTACCGCGGCGTCAGCCCTATCATCGTGGTGAAAGCTAGCTATACTTGTCTCATTCCATCTCTTTTGAGCACAAGCGCTTTGCCTCACTGCTGAGTGTGTGGATAAACCACTGTGGAGAAGCGTGTTTTGACGTTGCTGTGGTTGGTGTGTGTCTTGCGTTGTATTCCCTTTCGGTGTGATCAGTCATCACATACTGGGATGTGCGTAGTATGCTTTCCGTATACGCACCGCTGTCCGGGGTCGAGGTGGGAGGTATAGCGATGTCTGGAGATCTATCGGCAGATGTTGTTGTGGAGAGAGTATGTATGGTGGATCACACGATGGTGTTAGCTATGCTGTGATGGGGTGTACAGATGGGTATGTATGAAGGAGAGATCTACGTGTGGGTAAATGTTTACCTGGTGGCTGTATAAAAGCTGACCTACTGGCTTCTACTGGATATCCCTTGACATACTGCGGACCGGCCTACTGTTGTGCTTCATACACAGCTCTCGTCAAAGCACAACCCTCTCAACGTCAATATCCAACATGGCGACGACAACCGCCCCAACCCTCTCCCGCAACGACTCCATCATGCCACCTCCCTCCCCTCCCCTCAAACCAGCAACCCAACAAACCAAACTCCCCCGCGTCTCCCTCCCTGCCGGAGCACCAACACCCTACCTCCTCCCCTCCCACACAGGCGAACACCTAACCATCCCCGGCACAAAAGCCGTCTTCCGCATCCTCTGCTCCGCCGCTGAAACCAACAACGCTATGAGCGTCTTCGGCCAAGACGGCGTCCTATCCGACCCCCCAGGCTTCCACTACCACAACCACGCCCACGACGTCTTCATGTGCACAAAAGGACGATTGAAAATCTGGGCTGGAGATAAATGCCGCATACTCTACCCGGGAGACTTTGCTTACGTGCCACCGGGCGTGGTGCACCAGCCGCAATTACTGGATCAAGGGCCTAATGAATCGATGGGCCTTGTCACGCCGGGGGATTGGGTTGATTTCTTCCGGTTCGTAGGAGAAGACTATGGCGGTGTGCTGTGTGATGAGTTTGACGAGAGGAATACGGGTGCTGTTTTTGGACCTAAGATACGCGAGATCAAAGAACGTTTCGATGTGGTTTTCCAACCGCAGTTCCAGGGCGCAGAAGTGGCGGATTTCGAAAAGGGGGAGTGCGTATTACCAGAGGGTCAGGAAGCGTATTTTCTCAAAGCAAACACTGGGCCGTGTTTCTTACTCGAGGGTGTGCTATCCAGGCCTTTCATCACTATGAAGCAGAGCCAAGGGCCATCGGGCAACTTTGCCATCACGAGTATTGAGTCTGGGAGCGAGTTGGAGAACTCGGTGTTGAGTAAGGGTTTTGTGTTTGAAAAGATACATCAGGTGTACTATGTACTCGATGGGGCGCTTTCGCTCACGGTGGACGGCGAGGCAGGGCATCTGGTCCGGGCGGGTGAGACGGCATTTATACCAGCTGGGACGGAGGTGGCGGTGGAGTTTGTGGATCGCTATGTGAGGTTCTGGTCGTATGCTAGTGGAAGTGGGCTGGAGACGTTGATTGCAGAAGCTGGGGGCGCTTTCGAGGGGAAGGTGGTTCCGGATCAGACGAGGAGTGTGGATGTGGAGAAGGTGCGGGAAGTCGCGAAGAAGCTGAGAGTGAAGATTAGTGTATAGCTTTTGTCATAGTTTTGCCTTATGTTTGACCCAGAAGTCTACGTTCCCTTGATATCTCGTCGAGCTTCGTTCTCACGACTATTGTAGACTGCAGGGCACCTGTGCAGTCGTTTGTGTACGCGGTGGGAGCGACGCGGAAGGCGCGAACTTGGAGAGCGATCGGCGTGCCGAGGCCCACCACGCGCCCTGCGTCATCGATCGTGGGTGACGCGCCCGCGTTCTTCTCAACTGGAAGGAACCAAGCGTTGCGCACCACAGCCGGGCCAACACCCTACCAAAAGCAACTGCAAGTATGCCGACGCATATACTCAAGAGATACGGAGTGTTGGGGCAAGAACTGCGACCCACTCTTGGGCAGGAACGAGCGTTTGAGAGTCTCACCGCCCGAGCCGTGTTGTCATCGAGCGTCAACGAAGATGACTTTCTCTGATCATCCTCGCTCTTTCGCATAACACACGTCAACATTCTTCTCCCGGGCCACGATGCCTTCGCGGTCGCAATGGGTTGCCTTGACAGCAACCATCGTGGCCGTAGTATCGATCGCGCAGAGCATGTATCCGAATTTGGTTCTCTCTGCGCTCGGCCTAACCACATGCCCTTCATCATGCCGATCAAACATCGAAGTATCTCGATCCAAATATCTTGGCGATGGCTGCGCCGATAAGCCTTACAGTTCGAGCTGGGATAGTTGGTTTCATCCTCAGCGAAGCGATGGCGTGGAGATCGACCACGGCCTCGGTGCAGGAGCTGTAACAAAAGCTTGGAATATCTTGTACCATCTCGGTGGAAATGGGCCATGGGTGGAAAAGATCATCGATGTCGTTGACGGAGGTGTTGCTCCGCCGGAGGGATGCGAGGTGGTCCAGGTCCACATGATGTCTAGGCATGCTGAGCGCTATCCTACCAAGAAAGCGGGTAGGAAGCAGAAAGCAGTCGTTCAGCGCATGAAAGACAGTAACAAGAATTTTGAGGGCGATTTGGCATTCTTCAATAATTGGGAGCTCTTCTGGTCTTCAGACGATACCCAGCTGGAGCAATTGACAACTACTGGGCCTTTCGCGGGTATACTTTCCTCTTTCACCACCGGCATTCGTCTGCGTACACGTTACCAGCATCTTCTGGAGCAAGCTGATTTCACCCCTTCCAGCAAGCCTACCACATTCTGGGCTAGCGACTCCAATCGTGTTATCGAGACAGCTAAGCACTTCGCCGCAGGCTTCTTCGGCATCGACTATAACACTAGCAATACAGCTACCCTTCAGGTCATATCCGAACACTCTTCGATTGGTGCAGATACGTTGACGCCTGGACGAACATGCCTGGCCAACAAGAAAGACAAAGCTGAAGGCCAACAGAAGGGCTATCGTCTGATGCACGAGTACCGGGCCACATACATGCCGCCCATTCGCGAGCGACTACTCAGTCAGACAGGCATGAACTTTGACGACCATGAGATCTACGCTATGCAGGAGATGTGTGGTTTCGAGACGACAGTACGCGGTCGCAGCGACTGGTGTGATGTCTTCACTCGCGACGAGTTCCTCAGCTTTGAATATGCGCGAGACATCCTGCATTATTATCGCGCAGGCCCAGGTCAAAGGTATGCCACCAGTATGGGGTGGCTGTGGCTGAATGCTACGACGAATCTGCTACTTGAGGGCCCAAGCGCTGGCCCATTGTTCTTCAGCTTGTGAGTCTTTCTTCGAACCATAGAGACTACAAGCCATTGGGGCGAGCAACACTGACTCAAGATAAGTGTCCACGACGGTGACATAGCGCCGCTCATGACTGCGCTCGATGTCATCAATGACCGTGAACACCTTCCCATCACTCACATCGCCCACGACCGCAAATGGCGGAAGTCTCAGGTGTCGCCGATGGGCGGCCGTATTATTTTCGAACTGTTATCCTGCAAGACCAAACGCGAATCATCACCTGAGAAGTTCGTCAGACTCAACATCAACGACGGCATTACCGCTATATCGGGCTGCGATAGTGGCCCTGGGAAGAGTTGTCCACTGGCAGATTTCGCCGAGAGAACCAAAAAGAAGGGAGAGGAAGCTGGGAACTTCAACGAGTTGTGTGGGCTGGACGATGATGCTGCGGAATACATCACTTTCTTGCATCAATGACAGGTAGAGCGTAGTGCGATGTAGCAGCATTGGTGCTATACAAGCATTTGGAACACATAAGCTTGCTCCTTAGTACTATTCATCATCTGAACTAAGCATACACGTAGCAGAACGGCCCTGCAATCGTGCTCATAGCGTCCTTGATGGTGATGTTCGGTGAACCGACATACCCCACGCTGAGCACGTCATCAAGAGTGGCATTGCGGCTCGGTGGGTTGTTCAGAAAGGTCATAGTACCCGCGATGCTGTTTTGCCGGCTTTGCAAGTCAAGGTTTTGCCATGTCCACCAAACGCGATCGATCATGCCGTGGTGGAAGTAGAATGCCGGGTCTGCTGGGGAGTTGAACCTGCGCTTCAGTCAGTACATGTCTCATGCTAGTGATGGTGAGGTGGCGTGTAGCATACATATCCATTCCAGAATCACCTCCGATCGTGTAATGTCCTCCATTGTGAACGCCCATAACCCCTTGAGTGAAGTTCTGCATCTTGTTCTGGAAGCTAAGAATATCGGGGTAGTTCTTGATCAGGTCTACGACCATCTCATCTCGTGTCTCGTTCGACGCTTGTGTGCTGATATCGCGACTTAGGCAGCGAGGATTGTAGCCAAGGCCATCGGCTTGCGGGTTTGGTGGGGCGTCCTTCACCGTCGTTTGGATCGGACCTAGGTTGATCTTCCAGCTGTTTCAATTAGCCAATTGTCGATCTAGTCCAAATTTGATCAACATACTCTTTGAAAGGCCCAGACCTGATGCAGCCTCCGCCGTTCGCTGAATGGAAAGTGACCATGCAGCGCGCTTCGTTTGGGATGCACCAGGATCCTCGTCCAGCCACATATTCGCCGTCACCGGAGATACTGGTCTTGCTGCCGTCGAAGAGAGGTGATGAGAGCGGGTCTTCTGCCCACTTGGACCAGTTGTTGTATGGGAGATAGCCTTCGTAGCCGCACTCGTTGCGAAGAGCTTGTTCGTAGACCCAGATATAGTAGCGATGCCAACTCAGGAAGTTCCCCTGGTCTACATTAGTCGAACTCAGCTGGTTATGCATTCCCAGCCTACCGTGCCATGAATGCTCATTGTCTGCAGAATGTGCGTGACGATGAAGTCGTCGAATCGGCTCTTCGCGCCCGAGGCTATCGCCGCTGGGGTTTTCGCTGGCTTTTTGCCTAGGCATTTGACCGCATCGATATAGTTGAGCTTCTGATCCTCCGATAAAGTGGACCTGAATTCGTGTGAGCTGAGTTACCGCGACGCGCGTGTGCCTTCTACTTGCCATTCTCGTCGGACGGCAACATTGTCCAAAGTGCATTTTTCTGCGTCTGGGTAGCCATTTTGAGCCACGTTAGACCCAAGCTTCGCGAGTGCTTCAACTGCCAATGCATCGTTCTCTAAAAGGCTGGCACCGACGCCACCATACAATATTGCCGTTGCCAAGGTCGAGACCTTCATGTTGACGGGAGAGGAACAGAAATGGGTAGGAGTAGATATGTTCTAATTGTACATACTTATACATGCGTGCCGTGCCGTTCCCACTGTCTGTAGTTCAACATTTCGAATGCAGCTCTCGCCATGGAGGCTACTTCCATGCAGGTAGTCCGCCTTTTAGCCGTTAGCTACTACGAAGGATAAGCCAAGCAGCAATAAACGACCACTCTCAACGGCGACCCTAGTGCTTTGGTGGCGTTTTCTCGCGAACTATTCGAGGATGATAGCGCGTGCGGGTAGTCGGGTGCAGGGAATGTCCCGTCGGTTGGCGTTGCGGGAGAGCAATATACAAACACGAGTTTCCAATGTCGCAATGCTCGGCGAACGAACCTCTTCACACACTTCTCATGCCAACATCCAGACCAACCCCTTACTGTGCATTTTGTGACCACACAAGCATTAGCAACGATTTTCTCCATGTCCAGTTTGCTGCGCCGCATGCACGCAGAATGCAAGCCAAGATCTGGGATTGCAGGACGTGGCGCCAATCTGCAGGGGATGCGGCAAATTCCAATTCCGGGTAGGAAGCGACGAGCGCGCTCGTGGTAGTTATTCCGCTCTTAGAACGCGTATTTCGAAGACATCATACTTGGTCCAGTATGGAGTACGAACCGTAGATTTATGTATGGCAGATCATCGGCTAAGTCGACGCGTTGTGAAGGGGAGCTCGCGATGATCTCGAAGCGCTGATGGGTCTTGGCATCATGTGACACACCTGCCCGAAGTCGTCATCGGATTCCGGCTTCTCTCATGCGACATAAGCACAACCATCACCACACTCAAAGTCGAGAATTGAAAGGGCTCATATGTAATTTGATTGCTGCCAGCGGCTATGCAGATATGACAGCGAAGCTCTACCTAACAAAAGCGCCGCCTCCACTCGCGCCCAGTTGATTACCCGTCATCCAGCCACTCTCTGGCAAGCACGCGATACCAACGATACCTGCCACCTCTTCGAGCGTACCGGGTCTACCACCAATCTCGCCTGCCAATCTCAACATGTCCTCGCTATCTACACCAGGTCTCTCTTTCGCCAACGGAATCAAAGCGTTGTACATCTTCAGCGCCTCCCTTGGCGCCTCAGGCAATCCGTTCAGAAGACCCGTGTCCATGGGGCCAGGACTCACGCTGTTAACAGTTGCGCGCTCGGCAAGTTCACGCGCCCACACACGCGTCATGGCCTCGATGGCTCCCTTGGTGCCGGCATAGGATGTCTGCTGGATCAGACCCCAAGTCGTAGTCGCGGATGAGATATTGACGATCCTACCGGATCTGTCGTGAGGAAGGTAAGGAAACGCGGCTTTGATGAGCAGGGCAGGGGCTTTGCAATTGATGTTGAACGTCTGGTCCCAGAGTTCTGGATCGAGCTCCTGGATGGGCTGCGCATTCACGACAGCGGCATTGTTGATCAGGATGTCGATCTGGAACGAAGGGGTGGCCGCTGGGTTGGTGAAGTGAGCCTTTGCCGCATTGACAATGGTTTGCGGGGCGGAAGGGTCAAGAAGATCGGCGCGTACGGGGAGCGCGTTGATCTTGTAGGTCGTGGAGAGATGGTTTGCTAAGTCAGTCGCGATCTTATCGGATGCCGATGTTGCGTAGTTGATCACAACATTAGCTCCGCGCGAGGCGAAGTAGGTGGCAAGTGTGGCGCCGAAGCCTGGTTGCACGTCAGTTACTAATCAAGTGGCACGTCGTTACATCGCCATGGTCGAGGACTATGGGCTTGTTGCAGAACATACTTCGCGAAGAACCGGTAACAATGGCAAGTTTGCCTTCAAAGACTCTGGGTGCTGACATTTTGGAAATCGCTACGTGCTGAGGTATGTTGAAACCTGGGTAAGAGACCCGTACATGTATCTATGGAAGTAGTCGTGACAACGCCCACCGCTTGCACGGCAGAGGCGTCGCGGGGAACCCTTGACTATGTAAAACATCCAGGATCCGTCGAGGAATGTCTAGCGGTGGAGACCGTTATTTCGTGGTGTGGGTCTCGATATAAATCCTCCGAAGAAGCTCCATCTTGTGCCGACGCATACACCGAGCATTGACAGACCGTATTCCTCACGCCATGTTATGAGGATAGTCATAACTGGCACACATATAGTTGATATCCCCCTTTCTCTCCTTATACCAGATGTCCAAGTTCTTGGTTGATATCTAGGTGCTTTTGGACTACCTCATCTCTGGTCGAGATCCGAGTGTATGGATTCAATACGACACTCCTGCATGCTCCACGCCCCCGCACGCACAGTACGCGGCGATGTACCAATCCTTGTGCAGAAGAGGGTCTTGAAACAGGATTCGCGCGCAGACGTAGCAGGTTGTACTACTCCACCGCTTTGCACAAGACCGAGAGTCTGGACTCGAGCTTGGAGATATATCGGCGCATGTGAAGGTCATACGTAAGACTGTCTGCCATCACTGCAACTATACCGAAGGACATCAGTAAACATGATAGCCACCTTGGTAGGCTAATGCTAACAGCGTCTGAGCGAACAGGCCTTCTAAAGCGGACATTAGCTTTGCCAGAACATGCGATCACTCCGAAGGCTCGTCGTCCCGCGCATCAACAGCTCCCAAGAGCATCGGACATATAACGAACCGGGAACTACTGCAGACGGGTAACAGTGCCGGCACTAACAAGCCTGTGCCGCCTCGCCTCCCCGTTACCGTTGTTAATCCTAAACTCGTACGGCTTCATCCGGGCGAACCCTAGATGGTTGGCGCCGAGAGGTTTTGTGGCCTACGGATCGAGCTGGGATGGGAAAGAAAGCTCGTGGACGAGTGCCATACTGTTGGGATCGTGGCGCTCCTTTTTACCAGCCTTTCGTTGCGGTTTCTTATTTTCTTGCATGCCCGGTGCTTGCACTGTGTGGATTGGTGAACTCTATTGTTACTTTCTTCTTCGTGCGATTTGACTGTTGCGCTTGAGTGTATACAGAGTAGACTCGTCGAAAGTCTGATTGCCGCCATGGCGCCACCGACTTCTTACCATATGGCCCTATCGGTCTTGGTTCCTTTGCCGTTTGTCATTATTTCGACCATCTTGCGATTTTGGATTCGTACCAAGAGGAAGGCATGGGGACCAGATGACTGGGCTATGCTCATCAACTTGGTAAGTTTTGTACACATCCACAATCGGAATCTTACTGACATGGACCCAGCCGGTCTGGACGGTGGCCACAGTTTCCACACTCGGTATGGCTTGGAGTGGCGTTGGACAGTATGATGGCTCGTTGACCGCGTCTCAATACTCCATGTCCTTGAAGGTATGTAACCATCGATCTCCTGCGCCTCTGAGTCGTTTGAGAGGAAATACTGACGAGGAGCAGTGGTTCTACGTCTTCCAGGAGCCATGGTGCTTCACTCTCGTCGCGATCAAATGTAGCATCGGCTTCGCCTTGATCCGCATCGCGAACCGCAAGAAATGGATCGAGATGGTCATCTACACCTGCATGATATCCTGTTTCGTCGTCATGGGCGGGACGGGAATGTATCTCTTCTTCCAATGTAGGCCAGTACAGTACGTCTTCACGCCCTTGCCCTTCCAGGGTACCCATGGCTAACTCCGGAAACAGGAAGAATTGGTATCCCACGATGGAAGGTGAATGCAATGGCCGCAATATCCAGACAGTACTGTCATACGCAGTAGCCGTGGTGTCTATCTCAACAGACTGGATCTTTGCGACGCTCCCCATCTTCCTCCTCTGGGACGTCCAACTCGACTGGCGCGTTAAGATCTCCGTGATGTCCATGCTCGGTCTGGGAATCTTGTAAGCCAACCCACAGCCCTGTACCAACCACAAAGCCTCAACCACTAACACTTTTAACAGCGCGTCCATCGCTCCCATCGTCCGCCTCAAGTTCCTCATCGGTCTAAACGACCCAACCCGACTTCTCCAAAACCTCGGCGAAATCCTCGCTTGGGCCTGCGCAGAAATGAACGTCGGCATGTTCGTCGCTAACCTACCCGCCTGCCGCCCCTTGCTCACAAACTTCATCTCGCACTTCTCATCCTGGTCAGGAAGCCACTCGAACCCTTCCGGCGGCTACTCGAAGAAGCAAAACCCTCGGGGGTCCATTCGCGCCGGTCCAGGATCAAAGCAATGGATGGAGCTTAACGAGCGACCTGAGAACCACTCGCATTCGGGTAGCAAGCCTAAGAGCGTCGGTGTTGAAACGAAAATCTATGGCGATTTGGATGAGTATAGTAACACGAGCCTGGAACACGTTGATGGCGACCAGAAGCGTGGTGGACAGCGGCCGAGTGGTGATGGCTTGCAGGTCAGTGTACAAAAGGACTTCAGAGTGGAGATTAGTGACAGGAAGCAGTTGACGGCGTTGCCTAGAGTGCCGTTGGAAACTGTTTGAATTGGCGATTGTCAGCGTGGTACTGGAGTTGTAGATGCTGTATACGTCATGTAGATCATGATCGCAATGAGCAGGGCTTCACATATGTTCCTCTTCCGCTTTTATTAGTACAAATCTTTTCCAATCTCAATACCCATGCTTTTGCAATTCGGCCTCAGTATACTCCCACAACTTCTTCCTCAGCCCCTCGTCCCTCGCAAATGAACTGCCAGAACTCTTCTTGCCCACTGGCATGTAATATGCTCCACTCTCCAGCTCGTCTTTTGTGGTGGTAGCACACCAAGTCGTGTTCAACGCGCCTCCTTCCGGACCTTGGTAGTGACCCGGCAGTATCATGCCGATGATGCCGTAGATGTACAGGCCAACCTTCATGAATATGTTTGTGCGGAGGTTGTCGAAGAGATCCGTCAAAATGACACCGGGGTGCAGGGAGACGGATGTTATCGTAGGGTACTCTAGCGCCAGGGAGCGAGCGAAGAGTATGTTCGCCAACTTCGAGGAGCCGTAGCGACGCCAGGTACTCTCCTTCTCGAGCGCTTGCTGGTCGAACTCAATGCCCTTTGATACTGGCATCTGGTGGCCCATACTGCTCAGATTCACAATTCTGACATCAGCGCCGGGTTGTTTCGCCGTGTCCAGCATCGTCGGGATGAGGAGCTTCGTGAGCAGCGCGTGGCCCATGTGGTTCGTGCCGAATTGTATCTCATATCCTTCATTGGTGGTGCTGTATGGAGGGGCCATGATACCAGCGTTGTTGATCAAGATGTCGAGGCGCGATTCCTGGCTCTTGAATGACGATGCCGCGTCGGCAATGGACGAGAAGGACGTCAGGTCGAGCGGGAGGAATACGATCTCGCAGGCATTTGGCACACTGTTCTTGATGTCGGTGATAGCATCGCGGGCTTTGGATTCGGTACGGGCGGCGAGGTAGATGCGCGTGGGGTTGTGGGCGGCGAGGTATGCGATGGTCTGTTTGCCCAAGCCGGCGTTGCCTATGCATGTGTCAGTCGCATGATACGGTCGCTCATGCTCGGGACTGGGAGACACTCACCACCGGTGACTAGAATGACCTTGCCATCCAGACTGCCAATGTCCTTAGCAGGGTCGAAAGACTTTCCCATGTTGCTGGTCTTTTGTGGTCACGGACTATGGATGTCGCAAAGCTGCGTGCGCGCAGTGAGAGGGAGTGGAGACTGTTTGCGATATGGCGCAAGATATAGCAGGTACTCGTCAACGTCGGCGCGTAGTATGTCTCTCGTTGTGGTTGTTGACGCAAGCAGGAGACTGTCGCAATCCCGCGCACATCCTGTTGGCCGTCAAGCCATCGTTAGCTTGCGGTGCGGTCCGTCCACGGGGTTTCGTCGTCGGATGCCGAGGCTGGAAACGCGCTATGACGTCTTCCATTGCATGTGAACGCGTCTCCTGTAACACTTCGGAACCCGTATTGAAGTCCGGACGCGATGTGCATTCTGTGATGCTAGAGGTGGATGGATGCTACGTACGATGCAGAATTTATGGTTGTGAGAAAGTCGTCCAAGTGGCGCTGCCAATTCGCGCTTACGGCTTACTTGCATGAATCCTACCGCATGAGGGAACCAAAGCTGGACGGCACACTGTTCTCAAATGGGGTATCATTATGCTTAATTACAATATATAGCTGAAATTGCTTTTGCGCTTCGCTGATGCGAGCCCCACGCTTTAGGAAGTGTAACACTAAATTCAACGTCTCGGACCGGAGAGCCCTGCTCTAGGATTGTTTCTAAACCTCTCATAAGGATTGTTCGCACGCGCATAGTCCTCATCAAGATCGAGATCATGTATCACTATCGGCTTTCGTTGGGTTGATGTGGGTGCTGTTGTAGCTGTAGCTGGAGGTTGTTTTGCGGGAGCCGTTTTGGCCTTGAATGAAGACAGAAGGTTTTGGCGTTCTTCCTCAAGCTCATCGTCGCTCGTTAGATCGATAACTCCATCGTACTGAGCAGGGGTCGGGCGGGCAACGCTTTTCCGCTTTGTGCCGCTTGGTTGTGACGCTGCGATAGTTGAAGCCGAGGTCGGTATCGTTGGTGACGAAGCTGCGGAAGAAGCCCCTTGTTGAGTTTGACCAAGCTGCCGAGACTGCATCCGTGGAGATGCAGTGGCGATAACGCCTTCCCATTGCGCGTCCGTATGAGTGGGTGCGAATGCTCCTCTGCTTGTCGGATGAGCTTGGGTCATGCTTGAGGGTCGTGATGACGTTGGTGTGCCGTTCTGCAGATTTTGGTCTGTTTGAGGAGCGTGCCGTGAAGTTTTATGAGAGAGTCTAGATGGCTGCATCTGCGCTACCGGCGCAGGGTGGTTCCTAGAGTCAGGCGCACGGGCTTGCTGGATCTGGGGAGGTGTGTGCTCCGGTGTGAAAGGTTTATGAGTAGCGTATAGTTGCGTCACGGGTAAGCGAGACTGGTGATATGCTTGCATAGGTGCGTTCGACAAATTTGGAATATAATAGTCGGGATAGTCGGCTTGAGGAGGCTCAGGCCTAGGGTCGGAGCGCGAAGTATGTATATGATCGTTTCGAGACCGTCCCGGCGGTATAGATTGTTCGGCAGCACCTCTCGCTGCCGGCGCAGACCCCGGTACAATTTGATTCCCATATCCGTTTCCTGGTCTCTGCAAAGTTTCGTGCGGTGGTCCTGACGTTGTGCGTGTTGGCCCAGTCTGTGGCGAGTTGGTCAAGGTTGAATTCAGCTGTAACGCTTCGCCTGCACGCCATAGACGTGGCGAAGCAGAAGTTGCGCTGACAGGTGATGGTTGTTGAGAACCAAAATCTGTAAAAATGTTACCCATTATGGGAGATCCTGTCGGTGCCGCAGCTGTGCGCACTCGCTCCGAAGGAGCATTCCTTGCAGTGGCGACTTGTGGTGGTCCGTTGATGTCATATACGGGACTATTGACTTCTGATTGAGCGTTTGATGGCCCGGGATCAGTCCGCTGTCGCTTCGGTGCTGTGGGCATAGGTTGTGTCTCCTCCCTTGCGATGATCGAATCGCGTGGTGGCAGTATGGACAGCGGCTTGTCCAAGGGTGCTACCCTTTTCCTCGAAACGGCGGAAGTAGGAGATGATAGTGTTTTCGTTCTTGAAGTAGACGGCGTCGGCTTTGGAGCCCCTGCCGGTTGGTTACGGTCTATCGTAGTGCCATCCACCGCACCTCGAATTCCCTCCAGGTTTTCTATAAAGTCCCAGGCAAACTTCCACATTGGCGCAGACAATCGAAGGTCCTTAAACTGCTCGCGAAAGGCTTCTCGGAGCGCTCTGATATCGCCTAGCAATAGTTCATTGTTGCGCGTTTCCGAATACATAGAGATAAGGACGGTGACGGCCACCATTTCGATGGGCGCAAAGGTTTGTACACCACTCAAATGCCTGTCGGCATTCGTGAAAGTGTCGGGATCTAAGGCAATAAGGTCTTTGAAGGTGGTCCAGACGCTTGCAAGATGTGACTTGAGCGCATCGTCTACAGCGCCGGTGTTGTTCAGCAACTTTGGGATTAAACTCTGGCTTGTCCTCAGCACTGGAATGCCAGTTGCAGGAGTCGGATGCTGTACTTCCAGAATTTGGCTGAAGCAAGACAGAGTGAGTTGGAAGTCCTTCGCTCGAGCTCGATCCTTCATCAAGTCGTAGATCATAGGGAAGTCTTCCACGAAAAGCTTCGCTAGTTCTTGCCATGGGCCTTGTTTCGCGCGCATCCTCTCAGCTAAAGTGAGCTGCACACCCATTTGGACCCTAGCGAAAAGGTCTTCTTCTTGTACTGGCGTAAGCTCTGCGAACTGAAAGGCCACAAAGTCTTTTTCCAAGAACGACTTTTGAATGTCCGAAGGAAGCACCTTTTTGCGTTTATTGCTAGGCGTCTCACAGAACCACCTTGCACTGTCAGTGAGCCATTGAGAGATATTAATTGGACCGAATTGCTTACCACTTTTCGCCTTTGTGATCATGGCAAGGAATCATGCCTTTGACGAATGCCCTGACAGAGGAAAGTCGTTGCTTTCCGTCCACGCAGACAAGAACGTCACGTGGTGTACCATCTGTTCCATTAATCCGTTTCTTATTCAGAATAATGGGTGGGATGTAGTAGTTTTCTACGCAAGTGTTAGGAATCTTTGGATTCGTTCATGTTAAGAGAGCCTGGAGGAGATCATACCCATCAGAGAATTAATCAGACCCGTCATACGATCGGCTATTGCTATTAGCATGTCGGCGACAATCAAGTTGGGCGTTTTTACCTGTCCAGACAACCTCACGTTGATATTCCGGGTCGACATCGATCGCACCGCTCTCCAGTTCCTCTGGCCGCTGTCAGTAGAAGATCCTCTCGTTATAGTCGGCCAGTCTGTCACTCACTTATCAGACTTCCCAAACTTCGCATGTGAACATTGGGCTGTGGCAGCTTCGGTCGCGGTTTGTACTCGTACCCATCGTCGCTGTCGCTTTCTGCGAAGATGTCGTCATTGCCGTCCTCGTCTTTGACAGCAGACTGCACTGCAATGCTGTCGCTGTTTGGTTGTTTGGCAGCGCCGCGATGGGTGTTGCTGACTTCCATGCCCGTGCGGACCCCAGGCATGCTGGGGTGAGCGGTGTCGAATCAGGAAGTAGGTATACTATGTTGCATTGACTAGGTAGTTTTGGATCAAGGTTATGTCAGCTTGCACTAAGCTCTTTGAACCTTAGCTAGACCTAGACTAGCTGCAATTTCACTTTCACCTTAACAACTCAAAAGACCTAGGGTTTTCTTAGAAGAGAAGTGCAAAGTGCAAAAAAAAGTTGAATTTATATGCAAACATTCTAGCGGCTTGGCTGCAGCACTCAGTCATGGACAATCCTAGTCTAGAATCTTCTGCATAACTGCAAGCAGACAAGTTAGCAGGCTACATGCATCAGCGAGAAATTGCTGTTGCGAACAACCAATCATCACACGTCGCGCAACGCACTGGTCATTCAACGAGCACTTCACGAGCACTTCACAATATGCGCATCATCCTCCTGCATTCACGATCATGACTCAACGTTTCAATGTAATCTTGATGTATTATCATAGATGCGACACTATTGTCTGCTAGTTCTCTGTTCCCCATCAATCGCCGATGCTCATCGCCCTATGAGAACCTGTAATATGCACGGCGAACGCCACCAGGCGGGAAGATACATGGAAAACATAGGCTAAACAGCAGCCTGTATATGTCCATCCATCTGACTCGATGTAGTGCCAGGTCACTCAGTCATCATAGAGTGAGTCATGGTCATCCTCTTGAGCAGCATGGCCAGTGGCGAACTGCTCCTGGAAGTGACCCTCTTGTTCCTCCATCACGTCGTGCTCTTGTATATCCTGGTCTTCCGCTTCCGGCTGTCGTGCAACATCTTGAGCATCGGCCAACTCCTCATCTTCGGTCAAATCGTCATCTTCTTGGGCATTGTCCCTGTCGGATTCTTCAGCGTCGCTGAGTTCAACGACCTGCATTTCCTTCGCCTTTCTGGAGAGTTTGAGGTTGATTTCGCCCAAGTGCTGCAGCTGCTGAATGTCGAGCATTCCCTTGGAGCCAAGCCCGAGCACCATCATGAAGCCTTGGCAAGCGATCATCTGGGTGTTTTCCGCGGGTGGAAGAAGTTCCTCAAAGGCGATGTCCTCGATATCAGCGGCGGCTTCGGCTTGAAGCACATCAGACTCGTGCTCTAGGTCTGCCTGGGCCCGCCTGCGCTTCTCAATGATACGTTCGTGGATGAAAGTAATGAAGTTTTCACCTTCTGTCGACAAGGCCTCGCGGACGCGTGCTGATGGTTCTTGAGCTGCTGGCTCAGGAAAGTCGGAGCTGAAACCTGGTAGGCCAAAAACGTCGCCACCGTAATCGACATCGCTCGTAAGGTTCTTGAAACCCTCATGAGCAAGAGGCTGTCCGCGACCTTTTGAAGGGGAGGCAGACACGAAGCGGCTTCCGGGTCTGCTCTGATCAGCGGAGCCTATCATACCAGCGCGTCCGCTTCGAGGAACGACTGAAGAGCCTCTGACAGAAGCGCTGATGTTCCATGGCATTGCTGAGAAGATCTGTTGACCGTCAAGTGCGGAGACACCCTCGCGCGGTAGTTCAACGG